ATATACGCCAACAACTATTACAACAAAATAATGTGTGTTCATAAGAAAACGGTTGAACTTTTGGAAAACAATCTTATCAAGAATGTCCGTCAATCAAATTTACTTATGTTCATCTACAAGAAACAATTTCAATTAAATTTTCTTATCAGTAGACAAAGGAAAAAAGTCTAGTACCTTTTGTTTTTTATTTACATTAAAACAAAAAGTCAATGAGAGTACCAGTTATGCTTCAAAGTGTTAAAATGAACAAGAAATGAAACAACGTCCAGGTTCTAAACACTTTTCGACTGCGATACTTGCGTATTTTCTTTTAGAAAATAGAACCTTATCGTGTAAAATTTGTCGTATAATTGTGTGACTTACAATGGTATTGAATAAATATGAGGTAATCTATTATATTTCAGACTGAATTATTAAGAATTTTCTGATTTTTATAGTACAACACGATATGTGAATAAATCAAAAAAACACTCGCTAGCATAATGTTGTTTTGATTTCGATTTTAATTATTTTGTATTCGAACGATTTTTTGTACAGTAAATACGATTGTATACCACAAAATAATTTCAGTGAGGTCAAGAATTTTGATCTCATTTCTATTGTCAATACACATAAGCACTTTCGTGCTCGTTTTCTTTCTCTCCTTCAACTTCCCTCTCTCTCTCTCTCTCTCTCTCTCTCTTTCTCTCTCGTTTTCTTCTACTTACATGATATTTGAGAAAATGAAGTTGAAGTGTAACAGTATTAATACATACAAACGATTCCAAAGTTTGCTTTCATCGTTATTGTTGTTGTTGTTGATGTGGTAGCAAACTCAATATATGAGAAGAAAAAAAAGAATGAACGAAAGTATATACATATCGATAAATGACTGTATGGGTGGAAAAGAAAAAGAACTGCAGCTCTTTTCTCTCTTTTTAAAAACTTTATGTAGTTGAAAGTATTGAACGTTATCTTTGTGCGGCTTTTTTATCTTGTTCTCACAAAACACACGAATTCTTGATAAAACAGTTAGTTAATCCATTGTTTAACAGAAAACAGAAAAAAACACAGAGCAAACAAATATTTTTCTTCTTACATTTGATAAAACAAAATTTAAGATACTTGGAAACAAAGGAAAATCTGCTTAATAACCAATGAAGTAGTACACGTTCGTTAGAACCAATGAAAATCAACAAGAACTCAGTACTAATCAGATAGGTTTTATGGTGTAATCGCACACAAAGATGTAACCATATTATGCAACATGTCCGAGATAGAGAAGAATTCAGTAGTGATCATTTCAGATAAGTAGTTTTGTGTAACTCAGGTTATACCTCTTACAGAACATACTTCGCAACAGTAAAATTACGTATATTATTCAAGAATTCAATAAAAAAAACTCTGGAAGGAATAAAAAGTATACAGTACTAAAATAAAAACGCAGAGCTCCCATTTATAAATGCGGTGGCCTAAATAAATATTAACAATAGCATTCGCGTCTTTGTCCTCCCTTTCACAGCTTCCTACTCAGCGTGCATTAAATTCATTATCTTTAAAAAACAAGTGTCTTAGGATACTGTTACACAATGAAGGGAAAATACTCTTTTATCAGAGTAGTTTTTTTTCTGTCATCTTGTAAAATGGTGACAGAATGATGATCAACTTTTTTAGCCGTAAATAACATAGAAACAGCAAATTATAAACCTTCACTGTAAATAAACAAAATACGCATAGCACACATATGGTAGATAAAAAATTCTGAAAGTAGAGCCTTTTTTGATAGAATTACAATCAATTCAACAGTGAAACAACTCCTCTTCGATTTTGATTAAGCATCTATAAAATGAACTATAGGTTTGTTGATATTTTGAAAAATTCGACATCTTTCTTTTACCTGTATGCCTTTATTGACTAAATCGATTAAGATTAATGCAGAAAAATTCTAATTAGAACGATTCATCAATATATCAGTCGTTGAACTGATCGTTTTCAGTTCAAGTCTAGTTGTTGTTGTTTTATAAAAAAAATCCAAAAGAACAAGATTTCCCTGTAAAAATAAATCACTTTTGCTGCTGTTATTGTAAATTATAAATAGCTACAGTAATTCATGTATCTTACGTGGGAAAGAGCCTATAATTACAAAAACAAAAAGATTTAACATTTTTTTTTAAATTGAAATGAATAAAGCCTTATCGAACAAGAAATTTCTTTTTGCACATGTCATACGGTCGATATCATATGTGCCAAATATATCCTTTAGTTATTTCGTCCCTTCGGCTAGGTCACGCCTACTTCGTTCTGTTCAAGTCATCTGTACGCAACACTTGCACAACGTGTATCTTGTGCAAAATGAGATATCTACTTATTCCGCAGGTTCCTAATAATTTCTGAACAAACAAAAATTCAGAAAACAGACGACGTCGCAAAGGCTAGCTTCGAGCGGATATTAACGGAACAGCAGACAAAAGTCAATAGAAAAAGCCTTAGCGATAATATGTACTACGGAAGAAGAAAACTGTAGACAAAAAAGCTTTTATTTGATAATGAACGCGCCGTAATAAGCGACATATCTTCAGATTCATTTTCAAAGGTGTCACAAAATCGAGAAGATCTAATAAATGAGAATTGTTTTTCCAGGCGAGAATCCACTCTATAGTATAATACTATAGAATTTTACACAAAGTAGTTTTCCATAGATTGCCACCGCTTGTTCACATTTCCATGCAAAACGAATTTTCAAAATAAGACCACTTTGCTCACGTTTGGCTCACAAGTCATTAGAAATGCTGCATACTATAGCAGATAGGCATATTTCTTCTTCATGAATATACTAAGTACCGTATAAAACTTTTGATTCCGTAGACTGCTTGAGCTCTTACACAAAAAAAGAAAAGTTTCGGTGCTCACATCATAAGTGATTTATTACAAACAAGTACCAATCTCATCACTCGATAAAGTATCGGTCACGATATTATACCAACCAGTCAATAATCAAGATAGATAATCTAGCATAAACAATTGCGCTGGCATCATTCCTGCATCCATACAAATTCAACAATAATTGGTCTCCAGTGGCATATTTAGTGTAGAATTTCAATAAGATTCAGAAGAACTGTAGCAATAACAAAAGTAAAAGCACTTTTATCTCATTACACTCTGGTTGAAAGAAAGTAGAGGACGCACTCGCGCAGCACCATCTGCGCTTATTTAAAAGCAAAAACAAAACACTTCTCTTCACTGCTGATTGGTTCACCCTGTCAGAGTGTAGCATTATTTGTGGGAACAGAGAGTGATGGTACTGTGCGACAACATGAAACAACTTTTGTGCTGAACTCTCTCCCTTGGTTCGAGTGATCAAGTGACACTTAAAGACTGTGAGAATCAATTACTTGGCTCAAACATGACATCACGTTATGTAAGAGCACCGTATGATCGTCACTGATTTCTCTTCACAAATGTAATGTATGAAGAACAAAGTGGTCATCTCGAAGAATCGTGCCTTCACGATCTGCAGGCAGACACCACAAACATCAAGAGCACTTTGTCCAAGATGTGAGAGGGTCTGACAATCATATTTATTATAGTCAAGATTGTGAAGGTCAACTTCTTCAATATTTGAAGTGGAAACATTTTAACTGTTTCTTCTTCCGTGTGTCAACAATAGTCATCACATGCCCACGAACAATCAACTAAGGAAAAACATCGAAGTTCTATAAGTATGAAAGCGTCGCACCAATATGCATAAAAAGTGTGAAAGAGAATGATGATTCACGATAACCATGGTGGAAGATGTCAGAAAACTGTGTGACCTTGTTTTCGACAAATTGAGACTAATCAAGACATAGGCTTCTTTCAAATTAAGATCAAAATGTAAAAATCACTGTTTTGCTAGGATATCATCTTCTTTCGGAATAATCGAATTGTACGCATTACAAATTGTCTCATTCTATGATTTCACTGAAGTTGGTTACCTTGTACAAATTACAAGTGAGTGTTTACGTTTTGCCACTATCATGAAGGATTGTAACCATCATTCGATATAACTTATGAACATTGAAAAGATAGAAAATATCCATCCTTATATCTTATATTTTCGAAAAAAGCGAAATTCTGAATCTTTCGCTTTATCCGCAATCGCTAATGTTACTACGGCATGTTCTTTAATTAGAACCCACTCCTGGTCTCTAGAATGTTTGAAATTCCATCAAAACTGTTGAACTTTTAATAATGAATTTTCGAGTAGTTTAGCGTATATCGCCTGTAGATGTCGTTTTAGGCAAGGTTTTACATGAACTAGTGTCCGAGTAGAAGCTGTTAAAAGAATAACCCATTAATCGAAATATTGCTTTTTTTATAAATGCCGGTAGCTTTCTGAGACGAACACTACATACGTGTAAGAAATGGTTGCTGAGGGCTATAAAAGGACACTATGGTTAGTTAAGAATGGGTTAATCATTTTCAAGATATATGATCCATTAATGTTTCCACTAGTGGACATTTTATCAAAATTTGTAATATACTAGCATGTCGCAGAAATTATGTACCGTCTATATTTACTTGCCAGTCTTTTGAGCATATGTACGCTCATTTTTTTATGACTCTATAGCTTTTGTTCGTCAAACCTTTGCGGAATATGCTCTAAAGTGCTGATTTGTGTTTCGAAGCTATTTTAGACTATTTCCTTGTAGAAGTTTTCTTTAAAGGATGTAGAAATAGTGGTAAACATCATTAGACTTCCACAGAAAACATCGACATCTTGTGTGAGACATTCATCCTTATTGAAGAATGTAATTCAAAAGTAGAATACTACTTCTGTTACTTAAAAGTCTCTGTATTAGTTTTTCTGTTTCAGATTTTATTTCATTTCAAACGACAAATATGTCGAATTCATCAGATCCTTTTCACTCGTGAGTAATCTTTAGTTCTCTTCTAAACATCGTCTTTAATTTCTTTTTCTGAATAGGTTTTTGCCACAATTGCCTCCTCCACCTCCACCGCCGCCACAGTTTGTGTCGCAGATGCCAGGTACGGGCCAAGTTCAATCTGGCGTAGCACCTTCACAACTACCCCCTTTTGGTACGTAGCATTGATCGATGTTGCTGTATGCTTTTAGAATGAAACTATCAACAAAAATTGTTACAATGGATTTAATTTTTTCTAACGATTTTTTGTTTATGACACTAGTTAATAGTCGCTCTGGTACTTTACTAAGCATAAAGTGTGTATGTTACTGTTTTTTCCGTTAATCATCAAAGAACGTTTTCTCTTAGATGAACATCATTATCTTTTGATGACAAGCGTGAATTCACAATTTTTCGGATAAGAAGTAGTTAGGAAGTACGTGCGGTTTTAATGACTTATCGAGTTGAGAATTCCTTGTGTGCAAAAAACAAAACTTCCAGCCTACACATAAGTGCAATCTGCAACTAGTATATCAGATATGAAATAATTTTAAATTAACAAAAAAAGGAAAATGTTATTCGTAAACTTTAATCAAAATCAGATCAAAGTTTTCACTTGAAATCTTCTATTACACAACTGTATTGCTCAATCTGCCAGTGGTAATATGAGAAGTCTATTGGGAGAATTGTCTACATATAAACTAATCTTCTCTCTTATTTAGACCGATCTGTTCCTGGTCGAAATTTGTTTCCCTCTCATCCACCCCAAACAGCTCCTCCTCCACAACCGCTAATGGGTGTTTCACCACTAATGACCAGTAATACTGATATGCACCAGCAACGACCACCACAGCAACAAATGGATAATAACAGTTTCGGTGCGAAATCCTCATCGCATAAAGTAAGTCATTTTAGTCTGGATTAGTATGCAACGTCTACTGTTGATTTCTTTCGTTAGGATGAAGTTCGTCTTCCGGGTAGTCTTGAAAAAGTTTTACACTTTCGTGATACGTTATCGCATGAACAGCAACTAAAATCACAACAATTGCAAACCAATAAAAGTACAGAAAATGATGAAGACGAGTCTGATGAAAAGGATGATGCAGGATATGGTTCAGCAGTTTCTACAAACAAAAAGAAAGATGATAATAAAAAGCGTCGGCGTCGACGACAAAAGAAGAAAAAACAACCGAAAAACAAGAATGATGCCGGAGAAGAGAAACCAACATCAACAACAGATGAAAAAGAAACTGATGGTGACGAAAAGATTGAAATTGAATATGTTCAAGAAGAATTACCGATACAAAAAGGCGATCTATATTATACACATTTTGTTAAAGTATTTCAAAATTTCAAAATTGATCGATCAAAATTCGGTAACGATCCAAATAGTAAAGAAGCAAAAGCAAAGATTAAATCAGAAAATGATAAACAAGTTTTACCACGCGATCGTACACTAATTGATCAAGATGAGGAAGATGAAGAAGAACAAAAGAAGAAAGCACTACAAGCCGATGATACCCTACAAAAGAAGTCAAAAAAACAATTAAAAAAAGAAACACGTTTAAGTGTTGCACAATTAAAACAATTAGTATCACGACCGGATGTTGTGGAAATGTACGATGTGACGGCGAGAGACCCTAAATTACTTGTATTTTTAAAAGTAAGAAGTTTAACCATTTGTTCATAATAAATTCAATCATTTGTCTATATTTTTAGGCAACACGTAATACGGTGCCCGTACCACGTCATTGGTGTGCAAAACGAAAATATTTACAAGGTAAACGTGGTATCGAGAAACCACCGTTTCAATTACCTGAATTTATTCGTCGAACGGGTATAATGGAAATGCGTGAAGCGCTACAAGAGAAAGAGCAAAATAAAACATTAAAACAAAAGATGCGTGAAAAAGTTCGTCCAAAATTAGGCAAAATCGATATTGATTATCAAAAATTACATGATGCATTTTTTCGTTGGCAAACCAAACCACGTATGAGTATTCACGGTGATTTGTATTATGAAGGAAAAGAAAATGAAACACGTTTAAAAGATAAAAAACCTGGTTTACTAAGTGAAGAACTTCGTGTGGCACTGGGAATACCGGTTGGACCTGCTGCTGAGAAATATCCGCCACCATGGCTAAGTATGTAATGTTGACAGATGTTGTCTTGAATATTTGTTTTTGTTTGTTTTTTCTCTTTTAGTTGCAATGCAGCGTTACGGACCACCACCATCTTATCCAAATTTGAAAGTACCGGGTTTAAATGCACCTATACCAGAAAATTGTCAGTTCGGATATCACTCTGGTGGTTGGGGTAAACCACCAGTTGATGAACATGGTCGTCCATTGTACGGTGATGTATTTGGAACAAATCAATATTCATATATGAGAGTAAACGAAGAAGAGTACGTCGATAAAAGTTATTGGGGTGAATTGGAAGTAGAAGAGACAAATGAAGAATTAGCGTCGTCATCGGAAGAAGAAGGAGAAGGTACCGAGGGAGAAACCGGAGAAACAGCTGGTGAAAGTGGAATACCAACAAGTGAAGGAGAGACAAGTGTCGCTTCTGGGGGTGGTGGTGTCAGCGGTTTTGCAACACCATCTGAAGGATTTATCACACCATCAGGCACAGCATCCACAGTCACTCAAGGTGTGGAAACGCCTCAACAAGTAAGTTCTCTATTGAAAGTTACTAAATAATTTGATCGCTATTCTCGTTTTTTTCATTTTGATTTAGTTTGAAATACGTAAATCTCGTTTTCATCAAGAAATGGACGGCATTGACACACCACAAACAGCCTATCATGTCATACCCGAGCGAGCGGTTCCTATTGCTGCTACTAGTCTTCTAGCACCAGGAAAAATGTATGATTTTACAGCAGCGAAAAAAGTCGGTATGGACAGTGCATCGGGTACGAGTAGTCGGAATGACAGTGGCGTCGATATCGCCTTGAATCCAGATGATATCGATTTGAGTGCCCAAACAATTGAAACACGTTATAGACAAGAATTAAAGGATAAAGAGCTACAAAAAGAAGATCTAAGTGATATGGTCGCCGATCATGTAACAAAACAAAATAAAGTATGTTGTCGTTTCTTTTCTTAGTTAGATAAAATGGTGGTCATTCTGCCTGTGTCACATTGCTATTAGAAAAATAGTATCTGCATTCTCTTTCGTAAATGATTATACGCTGCTTTAACAACAGTTCTAAAATAAACGAAAAAATTTTTTTGATTAACGAATTGAACTTTTATTTGAGAATCTATTAGAGAACAGACGTTCTTGAAGGAAGAATTCTGCAGGAAGAATATGTGAGTCATATGTTTTTGTTTATCAACTTTGTTTATTATTTTTAGAAAAGAAAAAACAAGCAAATAGATACAAAAACCACCAAAAAGAATAAAGAATTTAAATTTTGACATGATATCGTTTTTGGTATATATTTTTTTTATCTTGATGTGTGTATGACCTATTCATTGGTGTTCTTTTTCGTGTAATGGTGTAGAAAGTGAGCGTCTTGAATGACTTTTCTTTCGCTAGTATGTTTTCTTGTACAGCAACTACTTTTTATTATTGTGTGTTTAATAAAATATAAAACTTGTATTAAAGATGTTTGAGTAATATAGACGATTTATCTGATGACTTAATCCAACCAAGATATTTGTCAATATAAAAATTGTCCGCTCTTTTTAATTCTTGAAAACTAGAACGACATGAACCTAAACAGTTCGTTGTGTAAATGTATAACTGAGAAACATCTACTACTACTAATATTTAGAATTATTATAAGTCAGCAGATCTTTATTGATCTAATTAAA